TAACAAGGAAGCTGCAAGCTACCGCATAATGTAGATGAACCTTGAGGACTTTATGTTGAGTGAAATTAGTCACAAAAGGACAAATATTGCATAAGACCATTATTGTAAAAGCTTAAGAAAAGATACCCATACTAAAAGGGAGGGGAAAAAAAAATTCTTTGTTGTTTACTGGGGGTAAGTGGGGGTGGGGCTTTGAGTGGGAGGTGACGGTAGAGCAAAAGGTAAGGGGCAGACACATCATAGTTTCGGTGTTGCTGAGGGCAATACACAAGAAGTGGGGGGTGGAAGAGCTAGGTAGATAGGGGGAACACTCACTGAGACAGGATTGCATGGGCTAAATGGGACAGAGGTAAAAAGTGATGCATGCTCAACCTAAAATTAAAAAAACAAACAAAAAAAACAAAATGGTTAAACGTCCTCCATCTTTACTGCTGTCCACGTTTCCTACCATATCAGTCACTGTGTTCCATAGTGGACATCAGCATGCCGTCCCTGGAATCTTCGTTTCTCTGTACTTGTTCTGTGCCTACCATGCTTTATACTGGCTTAAAAATTGTTCTTATAAAACTCCCTTCATTTTTACTATTGTTCCTTGCTTAATGTTTTTAAAGTGTTATCTTGTAAAGACTGCCTCCCACCACCTTCCTGCCTTGTGTAATTTGTGTTCGTCAGTGTCAGTTTGTCATACTGTGGTGGCTTGCATATTGCTTTGATGCTGAAAACTATGTCCAACAGTATTTTAAATACCAGCAGAGTAACCCATGGTTAGACAGGTTTCAGCTAAGCTTCCAGACTAAGACAGACTAGGGAGAAGACGACAAGGACTACTTCAGAATGTGTAGCCGCTGAAAACAATGATTAGCAGTGGAACACTGTCAGATAGCACCAGAGTATTGTCTGATACAGTGCCAGAAGATGAGCCACTCAGGTGGGAAGGCACTGAAAATACAGCAGGGGAAGAGCTACCTCCTCAGAGGAGAGTTGACCATGATGACACAAATGGAGTAGAGCTTTCAGGACCTTCATTTGCTGATGGGGCACAAATTATAAATCTAGGAAAATTGGAAGTTGTCAAAAATGAAATCAGCATTAGTGACCTGAAATGGACTGGTATTGGCAGTTTGATTCTGACTAACTCATAGTTGACCGTGTGGGAATGACAGATTGAAGAGGAATGGAGTCACATTCATCATCAAAAAGAACATTTAAGATGTCTTGAAGTATGTTGTCTGTGATAGGATGATATCCATACACCTACAAGGAAGATCAATTAATGCAACTGTTACTGAATTTTATGAATCATCAACATCGTCAAGCCAGTGACGATGAAATTGATCAAACATGCCATCAAGATGTATCAATAATTGCTGGTAATTAGAATGTGAAGGTTGGAGACAAAGGAAAGATCAGTAGTTGGAAACTATGACCTTGGTGATAGAAATTATGCTGGAGATTACATGATGGAATTTTTCAAAACCAATTTTTTCTTCATTACAAGCACCTTTTTAAAATAAAATACATGACTATAACATGGACCTCACCATATTGAATACACTGAAATCAAATTGACTACATCTGTGGAAAGAGACCATGGAAAAGTTCCGTGTCATTGGCCAAAACAAGGCCACAGGCAGACTGTGAAGCAGACCACCAATTGCTCATATGCAAGTTCAAGCTGAAGCTGAAGAAAATGAAAAGCAGTCCAAGAGACCCAAAATAGGACCTTAAATATATCCCACCTGATTTTAGAAATCGTCTCAAGAACAGATTTGATGCATTGGACATTAATGACTGAAGACCAGAAAAGTTGTAGACGACATCAAAAAAGTCGTAACAGAAACAAAGCGAAAGGTCAAAGAAGACAAGGAAGAAGGACAATACCAAAATGGACGTCTGAACAGACTCTGAAACCGGCTTTCCAGCGTAGAACGAAAGCAAATGGGAGAAATGAGGAGGCAAAAGGTGAACAGAAAGATTCCAAAGGCAACTTGAGAAGACAAAGTCAAGCATTATAATGAAATGTGCAAGCTGAAAGAACTGAAGAAAAATTGAAGCGTTGAACTTGCAATGTTTAAGGATTCTATGGGCAAATATTAAATCATGCAGTAGGCTTCAAAAGAATATGGAAGGAATACACAGCCACGGTGCCAAAAAGAACTGGTACATACGATCAATGATGAAGACCCAATGGTACTGAAGAAAGAAGTTCAAGGTGCATGAAGGCACTGACAAAGAACACGGCTCCTCTAGGTGGATGTAAACTTCCTGTTAGCAGGCAAGCACATTCACCAGGGACTTATTTTAATACAGTTTTATTTAGACTACATATTCATGTTTATGTAGATGACTTATTGGTCATCCTGGAATTTAGATATAGGAAAAGCACTCAGCTATACATTGGTCAGATTGAACTGTAAAGGCAGCATACTAAATACTGTTAGGCCCTGATGTGGCACTGTAGGATAAGCACTGGACTGCTAACTGCTAAGTCAGCAGTTCAAACCCACCAGCTGCTTTCAGAAACCCTATACATAATCGCTATGAGTTGGAGCTGACTCCAGGACATTTAACAACATTAGGCTCTTGCATTTTTATGAAAACGAAAGTAATCTTTAGGGGATTTTGTTAGCATACGTTTTCAAAATAATTATTTTTAAAGGTGAATAATTTTTCTTAGATGACTTTTTTTCTTTTGGATAGAGTAACACAGCATCTGGAGGAATGACACGGCGAAATACTTACGTATGCAGTGAGAGAACAACAGCCGATAGACATTCGGTCATTCAGAATGGCAAAGAAAACAGGTATGGAAATTTCTCAGTTCTTATCATTGAAATTCAAATAATTGCAGTACTTTTCTCTAAAGGTAAGTTAACTTTGCCTGCTAATTTATAGCGAGAAACCAAGATTCCAAATCCCCCCCTTTTCCCCTGGTCCTTCCGTTCTAGGACACTCCATTATTATGGGTGAGTATGATGAATGAGGGGATCCAAGGCTGCCTCAGAGGACATCACTGTGACCCTGTAGCTCCACTCTACAACAGAAGTTGGCCGTGTTTTTTAGGAGAATGAGCTAAAGCGGGGAGCACAAGGTGTGATGTGAGCATTAGGGGACCATGGATCCCTGTGGGCATTCCGTATCCTAGTCTCTGCCTTAGAAAAAGGCAAACATAAGACATAGACCCCCGAGAATGGTTCTGGTCGGTTGGCTTTTCCGATGGCGGTCTTTTATGAGAGCAGAATGCTGTTACTATTATTAAATGCCATCAAGGTAGTTCTAATTCATAGGGACCCTGTTCT